CAGCAACGCTGTTGTTTAAGGCCTAATGCTTCGTACCGCGAATCTACACAGAACGTGGTAGCTTTCAGTTATATCACATGAGCTTGCTCACCAGGAAACTGTTGAATAATTAAAACATGACGAATGTGATGGGTTTTAAGAATATCTCTATTGCTGTAAACGTGTCTCGACATGCTGTGTTTAGGAGGTTAATGATGCTTTCTATCTATCTATCTATCCATCCATCCATCCATTCATTGATATCTACACCTTATTTCAATTAACGTTGTCGGTAGAAATGTTTTTTAAAAGCCCGCAAGACAAGACGCAAAAGGTAGGCATGGGTAAAAGTAGAAAAACTGCTGCATCGCACCGAATACTAATGAGAAGTAACTATGTAAACTGACATTATTTCTAACGTTTCCTCCTAAAATCATCCGGTGAAAATATATGGAAAAAACTAAATTATTCTAATTCGGGGAAAACCCAATACATCACGTGCGAAATAAAAACTGTAGATTTCTTTTCCACCGATATTGCAATGTCTAATGAATACCATTCGGATCTATGTCTTGTAGGCTTTACAGCTTCTCATGACTGCCTATAGTCCGACAACGTTAATTGAAATAGGTGTATAATTATATATATATATATATATTATATATATATATATATATATATATAGATAATCTTTATATGATATATATATATATAGAACGGTTAAGAAGTTTCTTGAGCCAACGGAGAAGCTGTCCTATACCATGAGGGAATCCGCAACGAGAGACACAGTCCGAAGCTTTGGTGGGTTAATAATAGTCCAGTTTCGAAGATAAAACCAAAGCGGACAACCTTTTGATATGTAAAAAAATTAAAAAAATCTTTAAAAAATAAACACGTTTCGGTCCGTTTTGACCTTCATCAGTTTGTACAGAGTAATACACAGAATAATTGACCCTTATATATAATATTACACGACGAAGCAATAAACAAAATCACTGGCAACAAGATTATATAACAAATTGGGAAAAAGAAAAATTAGAACAATAATACACACAATTAAAGGCAATTACATAATCGGAACTAAAATAGACAATACAGAAGCAAAACGGTACTAACGAATTACAAATATCACGTAAACAAGACACTATAACATTCAAGCATAACCAAATCCCTTGGCTATCACAAGTCCAATGAATATCCGCGTCGAATCTGCATACATAACAAATTCCCCGCATACGGTCCTTAAACAATTGACATCACAACGTAATAAATTCGCGCACACAGAAGCGCCCTTGAATATATATGTTCACGGCCATCAGCAGTTTATTTCTGCTGGTGTTACACATATATTCAAGGGCTTCGGTGCGGAATTTTATTTACGTTGTTGGTTCGCAATTGTTTTAAGGACCGTATGCGGGGAATTTTGTTATGTATGCAGATTCGCCGCGGATATTCATGGACTTGTGGATAGCCAAGGGATTTTGTTAAAAAGCTTTGAATTATAGTGTCTTGTTTACGGTGGATATTTGTAATTCGTTTAGTACCTTTTGCTTCTGTATTGTCCTATTTCACTAGTCCGATTATGTACTTTGCCTTTAATTTTGTATTAATTGTTCTATATCTGTATCTTTCAATTTTGTTTATATAATCCTTTTTGCCATGATTTTGTTTATTGTTCGTCGTGTAATTATATATAGGGTCAATATTCTGTGTTATTACTCTGTACACCTGAATGAGGTCAAAACGACCGGGGACGTTTTAGTAAAGATTTTGAAATTTTTTTACGATATCAAAGGTTGTGTCCCGTCTTTGGTTTTATCTTCGACTGGACTATATATAGATATATATAGTATATATATATTATATCTATATATGATATATATATATATATATATAGCTATTATATATATATATTATATATATATATATATATATCTAGATAAATATAGTATATATATATATATATTAGGGAATAGTTTCCAGGCTTCAGGCGGTGATTCATCGCTTTATTGCTACAGCTCTGTTTCGTATGGCCAAAAAATGACCACACTCATCAGGCAATTACAACGAATGACCGTTAAATTTGGATGCTGGCGGTATAATACAAATTGTTGCTAGGTAGCGGTTGCGTTACGTTATTTTAAAGTTCTTGAGTACATATCTGTTTCTGTGGGGGCATGAACTTGCTAATTCGTTACGTGTTTAGGCTACATAGATCTTTTCTACAGATGATTATAAATTTTTCGTGGAAAGACATAGATTGCATTTCTTGCTAATGTTATTGTAGGGTTGACATTTTCTGAGTACTTTCCATTTTTATGTCAAAGGATTTTTTTGCATCTTTCAGAGTCCATACGTGCTTTGACAGTTCAGTTTCGTTTCTTCTGTTGGTGTGTCGAAAGGATGTCGTGTGGTTTCTGTATCGTTCTTTAAAATTTGTTGCTAGTCCGACGTAAGATTCTGCTGTTGTTTCGGTTGTTACTGTTGCTTGATAGACCACGTTTTTCTGCAGACATTTTTCTTCAAGTGGGCATTCGGGTTCTTTTCGCAGTTGCACGGCTTATCTGTTGTTGAGTTGGCGGCGTCGTGACATTTGAGAGCACTTTTTTTGTTGTGTGATGCGGATGATGGCTTTCATGTTTGGCATGCATGAGTAGCTGAGTTTGAGTGTATGTCTGTTGAAGATCTTGCTCAACGGGTGGTTCTTGGGAAGCATTTGTCGACGATGCATAAAAACCTGTTTCCAAGGTTGGTTTTGACGTTTGAGTCCCATGGAGGATTGTACCATGTGATGTTTCTTTTCCGGTTCTTTTTATTGCTCGTTGTTTGCTTTTCTTCTGGGTTGTACGTCAATTTGTGATCGTATCCGCTTTCTTCAATTGCTTTTTGGTAAGGGGCGATGGCTTCGTCGAAAACTTCTTTGCTAGATGAAATGTTCGTTAGTCTCTTGTTAATGTTTTGCGGGATATTCTTTAGTAATGCCGGAGGATGATTACTCTGCAGGTGGACGTATAACAATTTGTTGTTGGGTTTCATGTATGGTTTGTAGCTTTCGGTTGTGAGATCGAAGGTTACATCCAAGAAGTTTACTGCCTTTTTGTTTGCGTCAATTGTGATTTTGAGACCATTTGATTTAAATGCATTGCTGACCTCTTGCTTTATATATATAGTATAATATATATATATATAATATATATATATATATATATATATATATATATATATATATATATATATATAGTCGTATAGTTTTTACCTCTAGATGTTTTGTAAGTCCAATTTGTCCTCTTAAATCATTGTCAAACTCCATAGCCTGCGTGCAGACGTCTCCCTTTTCCTTGCTTCTCGCGGAAAAGTGACGTCTGCGAAACGGCGTTCCTAATCGTGTTCCAGTGTCCCGCTGTTTCTCCAGAATTCGGGGACCGCGCTCTGATTGGTTGCTTGACAGTAGGCATTGTTTTGAATCAACTCGGATTGGCTATCGTCCGAAATACTCAAGATAATTTATGCTGCATGAATTCAACGGAGCTAACACATGTCGGCGATGTTCGGTGATGTCGTGTGATTGTGTGTTTGTGTTTTCCGCCGATCGTGAATCATAACGACAAACAAATCTTAATCAATGTCGCGGAGAATTTAAAGATTATGAAGAAATCCTTTCTCTGCAGTTTGCAGTTCACTTAACATCGCCGTACATCTGGAAAACAAACCGGGAAACAACCAATGCGTTGGAAAGCTACGGAAGCGAAGATGACTTTACAATAACTGCGAAAAATCGAAGAGGAACTTTTAAATGACTACAGTTCTAAAGCTTGCATGGCAGGACTGACAGTTACTGTAAAGAAGAAGGCCCAAACACTTGGAAAGGACAGGGTGGAAGCATCGGCTTCTCCGCCGAGAAGCGAATTCTTTTGGACGAATCGTAACAGTCGAACTTGAATATCAACCGTGAGGATTCTGTTGAAACACTGGACAATTCGCATTGTATTACTCCTGTTTAGACCTGTGATCTTGAAGCGATCAGATCAAGATCCTGCCTCTGTAAATACGGTAAACGTAAATAAAACTGTGAAGTTAAATTTATGCGAAATTTAAAACCCGAACAGCAGGTGCTGGAACACGATTAGGAACGCCGTTTCGCAGACGTCACTTTTCCGCGAGAAGCAAGGAAAAGGAGACGTCTGCACGCAGGCTATCAACTCCATTGTTGACATGAAATGTTATTATATAAACGTTCAGCCGGGCAAACTATAAGAAAATAATATATGCGGCACACAAATATGAAAGCTGTATTCTTAGTTAACAGCGGTAAATATTCAGCCAATCAGCAGGTAAAAAACTGAGGTAAAGCTTCCACTATAATAATAATAATAATAATAATAATAAATGACTTTATTAGAGTGTCAGAAATACATAGCCGAGGGTGGAACCTCTACTAATTGGGGACACCTAAATCTAAAATACGCATATTTACATCTATATAATTTACATATTTACATCTATATAATTATTTTAAAAATATCGCCTAGCTACAATAAATAAATTTGCAATGTTAGGAAACCTCGTGTAGACTCGGACCAAAACTGTCTCACACCACCAGAGCCTTATTATTCAACAAATTGTAACACTGTTCAAATATGGTCATGATGCACTCAAATATCTGTCGACCGTACTCAACAGATATCGGCAAATATATGCAATTTCGTATTGCGCGCGTTAAAATGTTCAAGTCAGTTCTTGAAATAAAAGTCGGGAAGAGTATTTATTTAGTTGTGTTATCGATTTGTTGAATAATACGGCCTGACGGCTTCGTCGGCTAAGTATCAGGCGATATTCCGCGCGATTTCGCAGGATAATTGTTAATTATCCCGGTTTCTTTAGCATGTAGCCGACTAGGAGTATTGCTGCTCCCCCTGCATGGGACGCTAGTCCATCGCAGGTTGCCCCCATCATTTTGTCGCCGGTACCCATTTATACTCTTGGGTGAGAGTTAAGTGTCTATGGCAATAACACAACACAATTACCCCGGCCAGAGCTCGAACCTGGACCTCTCGATCCGGAGTCCAACGCGCCTAACCATTAAGCCACCGCGTCTCCCAAAGGCAATAAGAAGCAGTACAATATCTAGTCTATCCTTGACACGTCACTATCCAAGCAGTACAGCTTTTTTCAATGAACCCTATTATCATTTTATTTTCAGTGGTTTGGTAAATTTAGTCACCATGGATTGGTGGGATGATCTGTGGCTTAATGAAGGATTCGCCAGCTTTGTAGAGTATTATGGAGTCAATGAGACAGAACCAAGCTGGAAAAATGGTAAGTGTTGACAATTTACTGATCTTTTAGTAATCATATTTATCAATTTCTTTAAAGCGCTTTAGTGTAAGACACAATGGAAGCTTCAAATAATCACTTCATGCAACGTTTTTCTTCCTACAGTTGGAACCAATTTGTAGTGGCAGATATGTATTCAGCATTTACACTGGACGGCTTGGCAAACTCTCATCCCATTAAAGTTCCTGTGAATCATCCTGATGAAATCAATGAGATATTTGACTCCATTTCATATAATAAGGTACAATGATTAAACAACGACAACAACAAGCAACAACAAGCTTTATTAAGTCCCCAAAAATGTCGGACGCTTTTAATTTCGGTCGAACATTTGTCCGAAAATGAACCCGTCCGAAAGTTTTAAACGTCCGAAAATTTTATTTATATATAGCTCATTTCATTTTTTTTTTATTATTATGGATTTGATTAATTTATTAACCCTAATTTCAAGAACTTAACATAGAACTGTTCGTCTTGGTTTACCTTAAGTCCATCATGGGGGGGTGGGGGGGATAGAAACTCCTTATAAATGGTTTGCATAATTATGGACATAAGCGGTGCCGGGCAACCGAGTGTGCGCAGTAAGCACTCAAGTAGTTGCTAAGATGATTGCCCCAGGGGAACTTATTAACAATAAGAAAGCTTGCCAGGCAAGAAATTCACACCTAAAATTAGTATGCATGATAACAAAAAGGTGTTTTTCCTTGGTTGTTTTCGCTCGAAAACGAAAACGAAGACGTATTTGTTTTCGTTGTTGTCTGATTTCGCTTCGCCTCGTGTATTACGATAAACATTTTCATCCGACTTCGCTTCCCGTTCCAGTAGTAGCACTACTGACCGTATCCGAAAGACTCTCGCTATAGCCTGTAAATGCAGCTCAGACGGATTTTTCGCTTGTTGTTTCACGCTGCGAGATATTTTCTCGGCGGCGTGAAAGATCAAGCCAAAACTTCGCCAGCGCTGTGTTTGCAGGCTGCACGCGTACAGAGCTTGACAAATTTTCCCGGGTTAGAAAAACAATGAAGTTTTGGTTGACGTCATTCTTAGCAACGGCTTGATTGACACACGATTCGCACTGTTGGTCTGTTGCCCGGCACCGCTATGCCCTCAAAAGAAAAGTGCCGGCTTTCTATCCCCCCCCCCCCCCCCCCCCCCCCCCTGGTTAGTACCCTTGTTGTCTTCATACTAACTTCGGAAATCTTCGGAAATTGTGATTTGCACTGGTGTTACACTTTTCGCACTGGTGTTACACTTGAACTGCACTGCTCTTAGCCAATCAGAATGGAGTAATTTTTTCAAGTGTATTATTTATTATTAGTATAGGTAATCACATGATTTCGAGTGCAATTTGGAATAAATGAGCGCGAGAAAAATTTTCAAAGACTAACAAAATTGCACGAGCCCGTAGGGCGAGTGCAATTTGTAGTCTTTGTAAAATTTACAAGTGCTTATTTATTCCAAATTGCACGAGAAAAATCATGTGATTACTTCTTAATAACACACTTGAAAAAATACTGTTTACTGATTACTAAGGCTGAGGAGCCCATGGTCTTCCTAAAACGTCGTAAAAATTCCGGAAATATTCGCAAACCTTTCGATAAAGTTGGGAAATCTTCGAAAGTCTTTCGAGTGAAGTTCGGAAATCTTCGGAATACTTCGGACAATTTTCGGAAGTCATCGGGTGATCTTCGGAAACCTTCCTAAGCCTTCGGGTGAACTTCGGCCATCTTCGCATACCGTGGCATGAAATTTTCGCTGGATCTAATTTTCGCGAATTTCACGGGTTTTCCAACGATCCGCGAAAAATTAGATCCCGTTAAAATAAACTCCTGCGAAAAAAAATTCCGCGAAAATTTACTCCATTTATTTAGATTACAGAATTTAATTAAATTGACTGCAAACAATATTACAAGTACCGTAGGCGAAATACCGGACAGGAACTTGCTCGAGATCCGCGAAAATTTGCTCCCAGCGGTAAAGTCTGAAATCCAAATTTGTTCCCGCGAAACACAAAAAATCGACAATTCCCGCGAAAATTTCATGCCACACGGTACCTCGTATGACCGTCGGAAGCCGGTCTTCATACAAACTTCGGAAATCTTCGGAAATTGTAATTTGCACTGGTGTTACAGTTTTTGCACTGGTGTTACACTAGACTGTTCATAGTCCCTCTATTTTTTGCGCTGAAATTGTCGCGCTGTCACGATCGATCGTGGAGCCGCCATCTTGGATTATTTGGCGAGCGAAATCTGGGGAGAGGACAAAAACTCCCCTGGGTACGGGGCGCGGGCGCGCGGGGAGGCGTCAACAAATAGAGAGACTGTAACAGCTTCTCGTGTTTTCCTGTTCAGGGCTCGTGAGTAAATATTGGCACCTATACAGACAACGCTCCGCCTCTATGTAAACATGGTGGCCAGATAAAACCAAAACATTGATATCAGATGTCGAGAGAGTTTCGCAAGCGAAAAAATGACTGGCCGTCGGTCGTTCTTTTCCGCTTGAGAAAACAACTTGCAACTTGCGGAACGCTTTGCACACGATGTAGCTCGCGTCTTCTACTTTAAAACATAGGCACGCAAGGCGTGCGGGAGTTATTTTTTTAAACGACGTGCATTCAAAATGGTGTGTTTTGATACTATCCCATGCAAGTATGTGATAAAATTCATGTTGTTTATCCCAAAATTAATTATATTTTATCCTTTTTTCCCATTTGCGTGGATCGTGATAGGGCTACAAGAAGAAAATAAATGTACAGGAGTGAAAATAGGCAATGTTTAAACTGAACGCAAAAAATAGCTTATGTAATAAGGTTGGGATAAATTATCACATGAAAAACAAAACTATCATATTACATGGGTTTCGGAAAAAACAATATTATTATGTTACATATGTTCGCGAGGGAAAACAACAGCATGATCTTATACGCTTGGGAGCAAACAAAGACAAATGCTGTAGGAAATCGACCCACACAGAAGCATCATAACCATAAATTTTCAGTTTCATTTCTGCAATGTCGCATGGTCCTTTCACGTGCGCATAACAACATCAGGTATCTGATTGGCTATGATTAACTTAACTTTTTACCGGTACAAGTGCACAAGTCTAAGCTACGTACCAGAAACAGCGATCAGAACAGAAATACCAGCTCAAGAATTTGACACTTACCGTGAAAACAGTAAAATGTAAAAGCAAAGCCTGTACATCGCAGTAGCACAGTAATTGCACTTCTTTCTATAATTAACTTGAACGTTGTACAGCTACAGTGGACGCGTTCTAGGAAAGGCAAAGTGGAACACTATAAAAGGAACGCTAATGGAAGTCAGGGAACGCTAAGGGAACGCTAATAATTCGTTCTACATATTAAGGGGAACGCGTTCAAGCGATCTGGAAACTAAATAGAACGTGTTCCAATATTATACAGTGTGTCCCTGAGATCTCAAGTTTTCGGCAGGTCCTTGCCATCTAAATTGCACTAATGGTAATTCGCAAACACAGAGTTTATAATAATGACCAATAATAGATCTGGGAACACAAGCTCCTACGTAGACTTTCTTTTGGCTCGTAACGCAATCTGGGCGTGACTAGCCAGTTTCGCTTCAAATTTCAGATCGTTCCACGGTCACAAGGATGTCGCAAATCGACCTGCGTTGACCAATTTGGGCGTTTCTTTCACTGTTTCATGCAGCCCAAATTAACACATTTGGAAGTCAAGATTATTTCTAATCTTTCGAACTGAAGTAAAAATAAATCTCAAATGTCTGATTTATGCTCGAAAGTCGAGTCTGTAATGTGTTTATTTTTAGAACCGTGGGAACCAAAGCTTCTGATTGGTCAGTCGGTAATTCGATTTACAAAGTCAGCAAACCTGTTTAAACATGCACGTAACGTTGCCCGCGCGCTGCCTCAAAAGCCAATATTTCATCGTCAATAATATCAGTCCTGTTCGTGGCTTGTGATATATAAAGGACTTCCCGTTTGTAGTTTAAAACGTGAAATAAAGAAAAGTTGAAAATTTACGAAGCGTTGTCTCGCATAAAAGCGAGAGTTTGCTCCCACCGAACATTTCGGAGAAGTTCATGCAATGAAGACCTGTGGAGAAAAAATTGCGGTTTCAGAGCAACATCTTTGCTGTCGATCAGTGATGAAGACCACCATGTAGAACATAGCATTCAAAACTATCATTGAACTTGATCAACATATTTATTTCGCGCGACCTAGAAGCTGAGACTGGCAAAGGAGTACCAGGTTACATTTATATCTAGAAGGACTTTGTGTACGATTCTGTGAAGTATAAAACTTGACAAATTGTCGCCTTTGTTGTTTTTGTCTAGGTCTAACTTTTTCGCTTGCTATGCGATCGACCGGTTTTCGACTTATAATCCTCCGGCTGCCTGTCATTTCGCAAGCTTATATAATCTGACATAAAAGCTGCCATTATTTCACATTTTAGTCTGCATTTTACCCCTGGTCCGCAGTTTTAACCTTAGCCTGTATTTTACCCCTGGTCTAGCTAGCACAGTGTACACTGTGCGGATTCATACGCCCGAGCTGAAATGAAACGAACACTCACGTCTTCTTTCGACAACTTCAACTATTTTCATACTTGCCTTTCAGCCATAACAAACGTATAGCCATGTAATCACCAAACCTACATGCATAACACAAGCTTTAAATACAAACTTTTACTAAAACACTTCACAAACACCACTGAATAAAATCGACGCAACCAGATTTACCTACAATCAAACTGTTGACAAGACATCATAAAAC